GGTTTTGACTTTTGTCAAATTAAAATATTTTTAATCAACACATTTATAAACATTTTGTCATTTCAATATAACTCATGCACCTCTACTTGTTTAAATAAGTATCTTATGGGTNATGGGCTGTCCATAAATATCGTACGCCAAAAATAACTGAAATTTATCCCCCAATCACTTTGATGGTAACAGTAAAGTGGCGTATCCAGTATTTTTCAATGGGTGAGGGGTAAAAAAAACACATTACTTTTATTAGTAAATTGTTTATCAAATTTAAATAATAATATTTTATAATTAATATAATTTTATATTAATTCTACACAAATTATAGCCAATGGGAAGGCATGGCCCCATAGCCCTCCTCTGGCTAGGCCGCTGTAAAGTATTACCCTCCCAACACTTGTTACCCAATTGTATTACCCAACCACCCCCTTTAAGGGCGGCATTAGATATTTTCGCTTTAGGGCGGAAAATATCTTGCGACGGGCCTGATTATTAATATATTATTGTTATTAACACTATTATTAAATAGTTAAATAAAGTATAATAGTGTTAATAAGACTGTAATGTTTTCTTAGGTAAAGTATTATAGTTGATCTAAAAATCGAAATATTATTCATAAGTTTAAATAAAATTATTAAGTATTAATCTTGATTGTCATAAACTGGTTGGTGAATAACCAATATAAATATAATATAATATCAATATAATAAATGACTGGTGTCGTTACCCTAGATTATACATTGTTTTATGTTTTTTTGTTATATTTCAACAAAAAATACTTCATTAAGCTATAAAAATAATTTTATAAGACTTGAAATTTTAGCTTCGATGCGAAGCGGAGAAGGTATTAATTTTACTATGATGTGTTTTTTTTTTTTATGTCTGTTGCCACTTTTTCTCAGCTCTCACTGGACCGATTTCTTTCAAAAATACGTCAAAAGATCACAAATCGTATCTAGTTGAAGACATTACCCTTAAAAATTGAAAAAAATTCCCTCGTTCCCCGCAAATGGGGGAAATATCCAAAAAAATTACAAATTTAAAAATCGCTAATTTTCGAAATTTTTTCACTTTTTTTTCTTAAAACTTCCATAACTTTTTGAAAAATCAACAAATCAACATAATTTTTTGTTATACTAAAACCTTAGATATTTACCTTTCATTTAATATCATTTTTTTGAAAATCTATCACTTAACCTGCTCATTGGGGGGGATTTAAAATGGCAACTTTTTTACAAAAATTAATTTTTTCAACTTAATTTTTGAAAATGTTCCGGAAAGACTGCGTCCTTTAAACATATATCAAATTAAAGCTTATTTTATGTACTACAAAATGAAAAAAAAAAATTTGTCCCGACACTTTTTTTTCTACATTTAAACGGCTGCCGTAGTTAAAAAAACACTATTTTTGTGTTAAAATTTTCGATTTTCGATTTTAAATTTTCAACTTAAAAATGCTATAACTTTTTGAAAAATGTATATATCAGCACAAATTTTTTTTTTCTAAATACATTATAAGTACATCTTTCATTTGACATACTTTTTATTAAAATTGGACAATTTCCCCTTATATAGGGGGCGTTCAAAACTTAAAATATTGTAAAAAACATAGATCTTTTTCAACTGAACTTTTGAAAATGTTCCGGAAATACTGCGTCCTTTAAACATATATCAAATCAAAGGTTATGTTATATACTATCAAATGAAAAAAAAAAATTTGTCCCGACATCTTATCTTCTATGTGCAAATGGCTGTCGAAAATTTAAAAAAAAATGTAATGTTTGCGATAAAAATTACATTTTATCGGGATGTTTTTTGTACTTAAAACTGCCATAACTTTTTCAAAAATGAACAAATAAAAATAATATTTTTTTGTATTGAAACCTTAGATATTTCCCTTTCATTTGATATAATTTTTTTTGAAAATCTAACACTTATTCTGCTCACTGGGAGGATTTAAAATAGTAACTTTTTTACAAAAAATAACTTTTTCAACTTAATTTTTGAAAATGTTCCGGAAATACTGCGTCCTTTAAACATATATAAAATTAAAGCTTATTTTATGTACTACAAAATGAAAAAAAAAAATTTGTCCCGACGATCTATCTTCTATACGCAAATGGCTACCATATTGAAAAATATACTATTTTTGTATGATAATTATGGGTTTTGTATTTTATTTTAATAGAAGTTGATGTTGCTTTTGCAATTATCCATCAATTTTTTAAAATTAAACACTATCTACAGATTTGCATCGAATCGTTTCTTATGATAGTGATTTTAATCACTGTCAGATTAAATCTATACTGGACCCTACTATGCAATGTCTCCACTATGCCGCGACCCCACTGTGCTACCGTTTTTTTTGATTAGATGTTGAATATTTTAATTTATCAATACTGAGTATAACTGTTTATTTTCGCACCTAGTTTTTGGTAGAGTTTAAAGAAAAACATTAAATTGGGGTAAAAGTCTATTCTAGTCTAGATCTAAAAGAATATATTTTATACTTATTTTGAAATTTAATAAGATTGTTAGATCATTATATTAAAATTGACGATTAATCTACTTTATATATTAAGTGTCTACTTTGCAAAAAAATATTTAATGTGTGAAAATGTATTTTAATTTTTCTAAAAGTTTTACTAAAAATTCTACAAATATACATTTTTTTTTTTGGTAATATAATCATGTTGTAGTATAAACCTTGATAATTTTTATATTATCAAACTAAAAATTTCTTGTTAAAAAGAAAATTAAAGTTAAGATTCCTGAAGAGATAAAAAAAAATATTAACTAATTATATATTAGTGTAGTTTTTTGAATCAAACAATATTACCTTTTATAAAAATTTTAAATTTTTAAAAGTGTCCAAGAAAATGAGTGCTTTATCCTTAATGAGTCACTCATTATACATTAAAAATAACACTTCCAAAACAAACAAATACATGCAATTTTTACTTAAAATCAGTTTGTTATAAGAATTTTTGTTCTAAAGAAGAGTATATTTTCTACTTAGTTGAAACAACATGTTATTAAGTTTTGAGTTGAATATGAATGTTTATAACATGTTAGTTAATAATTATTATATTAGGAAAATTTGAAGATAAGTAGAAAATAAATCCACCAAGGTATTTATACATATTATTATTTTAAGTTTTATAAAAGCTTCAATAGAAGCTACAACAAGTCACTAACAATTTGAGTAACTATACATAGTTAATTATATTTAATATTATAAAGAAAAATACTCTTATGAGTAATACAATAATAACAACAAAATAGCGACTAAATAAGTCAACAAATGTTAATAATTTTTAAGATTTTTCTTTTTTTGGGAACAAACTTAGTAAGTACCAAAATAATCCATGTATATATATATATATATATACATTTGTGTGTGTATGTCTGCATGAACGTAATATATACAAATAATCTATTATACAATCAACCATAAAATTACACATAGTTTACAGTATGATTTAAAATAATAAAAATTCATTTAATATTGCAACAATAATAAATTTAATAATACAACAGACATGGTTTGAGGAATGTTGGTGTTAGGCACTCTTGTATGTTGTATTTTACAATAATTATTGGACCCAAAAATAGACCTAACAAATTGAAAAAAAAAATCATAATATAAACTCTCATTTCTTTCTAACTAATATAAATAAATAATACACCTACTTCAATATTATTTTTTAACATACATAGGTATATTATTTAGTTGAGATCAGTAATTAGTTACCACTTTTACTAAATATATATAATTTTCATTTAAGTATAAAAAAAATTCATATTTATCGAAAAATTAATAAGGTTAGGTACCAAAAAGTCAGATCTACGTGTAAGGTATGTCTTATGATTTATGTTTAATTTATAAAAAGTTGAAACAAATTTATCGTTTGTGACATTCAGATCATTAGATTTCTCATATTATTCATCTAAAACAAATAAAATATTTTATTACAAATTATTTAATAGAAATCATATTATTTGAATGATTTAAAAGTATAAAAAAATCCAATGAACATAAAATCATAAAAAACAGGATAAATACAAAAAGAATTAAATATAATATATAAATAATTGTTATATAACATTGTTACATGTACAAGGTGATTTTTTTTTATTATAAGTCACTCAATTACTAACAGAAAAAAATATAATTTAAACATTTTTTTTTTTGGTTATTTATATTTTACATATTATTAGCTGTGTAATACTTTTTAAGTTCATCCCATATGCCTCGTATGGGTGTCAACTTAATTTTTTTTAAATGGGAACACATACTTTGAGTTTAATAAAATATTTGAGTTTTTAATTTATTAGTAAATGACATTTTAATTTTTAATAAACTTCATTTGTTTATTAGATATAAAATTTTTGAGTTGATATATGTGTATAATACACGAGGCATGACTAAAACAGGTAGCTAATTGTTTTTTATAAAATCACTATCACAGTCACGGAGTGTTTATTATCAATTATGACTATCAATAGTTATGCTTTCTGTATTGCCAGTTAATATATTTATAAACTTATAATGAAGAGCATTACTACTATTGATAATAGGTGCTGCGTATCTGCAAATATCAACACCATAAAAAACTAATTAGCTATGATAAAAAAATCACCTTTTATGTAATTATATACAGAGTAATTCTTTTAAGTCTAGTCACATCAATTTTCTTAAAATAATTCTTGAATTATTAATTATTAGGTATTTTTTAAATTCATTCCTTATATCTTATACAGATGTCAACTTAATTTTTTTAAATGGCAACATATTGAGGTAGTTAAAAATTTAAGAATACAGGTCATTGTCAAAATAATAGGAACAATAAAAACCCACTTTCTTACTGAACACTATATATTTAACTAGCTTATAAAATAAAAAATGATATCATTAATGACTAGTCCATAACAACTTTTGTACCAGTATTTTCATAATTATTGACATTTTGAAATATAAAGTGGAAGAAGAGTGCAGCAGAGTAATGCGTAATCATAAACATAATAAAACCAAAACCTCACTTCCATTTTATATTTTAAAATAGTTATAACTCCTATTTTTATTGACTTAATTATGGATAAATTAAGAAATATATGAGATTAAAAATAGCAGAAATAATTTTCTAAATATAATTATTTTAAAAGAAATTGATTGGCTAACATTAAAAGAATCTTCTGTATATAACTTATATGTATCTTGGATTATTATTATTTAAGTAAATACATAGTGCTAAATTTTGTAATTTTATTAAAAAATAATTATTTTAATGAAAAATTAAAATAAAATGTAATAAAAGATAATGTTTATAGTTTATTACTTTTACTAGTAAAATATATAGTGATGTAATAAATAAAAAGTAATAGTCGATCAATAAAAAAGAATGGTAAAACTTGTTATAATTATCTTTTGACAATTGTTTAGCTTACTTGAAAAGAACTTACTTTTGAACAATATTAGTAAACCCATGCTACAGGTACCCATTGTGGAGTGCTGTGTACTCTATCCATTACCTTTTCTAGTTCCTCAATAGTTTCTTCAATATCTTCATTGACAATAGTGATGTCAAACAAATGCTCATATGCACGTTGAAGTAATTCCGATTCATTTGCTAATTTTTCTAAACTTCCATCAAACTAAAAATTTAAATAGTAATTAAATATCAATATAATAAAAAATTATGTACATTTTAACATACATCAGTTAGTGAGCGATGTGGTGGGGCTGCAATGAACACTACTAATGGGGCAAATTCGGCTGTCCTTAATACTTTCAAAGCTTGTGGTTCAACATCTAGTATAGCAATTTTACCCTCATGATGTATTTTTCTGATAGTATCTAACTTTGTACCATACATTGCATCATCATGGGTACCTAAATCAAAAATTATTATTTTTAATGTCTTCTTAAATGCTATTACTAGTGCCAGAGAAGAAAAAATTAAAACTACATAAGTATAATGAGATAAAAAAATTCCGTCATAGTATAGACCATTTTACAAAAATTATTTTTTAACCACTAATAACAGTAATTATAAACATTTCAATTAACTTTTCTTTGTTATCAATGATTTAATTTTGAATTTAATGATGATTGTTAAAATTAATAATAAATAAAGTTTATCTATAAAATAAGAATGAATCACTCGTGGTTAATATTAATTTAAAACTAAAATATATAAGAATTATTTAACTCAAAAAGCCACAAGAAAAGACTAAAAAATGGCGTATACATATTTCGGAAACAATTTTACCATCATCAGCGTTATTTAATTATAGATAAACACCAACATTAAACTGGTGTAAGCTATAATAAAATCAATTTATTTTAAAAATTAAAAAAATGAAGTAAGACTTTTTTTTTTTGAAAATTAGGTTTTGGTATAACACAGTATTTAAATAAAAAATTCATAGAGAATCAATCGTTTAGGAAGCGAATTGATTTGTGAAATAATGGACCAGTGAACATTTTGCTCCATTCCAATTTAATCTAAAATGACACCATTGATTAAAGTTTTGCTTAAACTTCGAATGCTCGTATTAATTTTGTAAAATTCTAATATTACCTTTATGTCATTTTAAAATAATGCGAAAAGTTAAACAACATTTTGTCAACGAAAAGAAAATATAGAAAAATAAATAAAGTATCTTGGATCGTGTGGATCGCATTGGGAATAGAATACAGTTTAAAAGCGAGTGAACAATCCACAGTAGTTTTATAGTGAAATTTCTTTGATGTTCGTCAATTTTTAAACAGTAGTTTCGATAAACCGAAATATTAAAGTGTGTGTACATTAGAATACGCGCACAATGAGATTTGTGTAGAAAACTTTGCAGTCAAAAGGGTCAACGCGACATTTGTTGCAAAAATTGTAGGAGAGGTGCACACAATTCACTGTGACGGCGTGTTATGTCGATAGAGTGAATTGAAAACTATCGGAAAACGGTACCAGGAATCCAGAAGTATCTGCGACTTTTCGACATACTCATCGGCCAATGCGGTGGCACAGCGTTACTGCTTATCGGCCGATATTAGATACGGTTCAGTACAAACACCAATAGCCGATAAATGTCGTTCTCTAACGACGCATTGAAAATTTATAAGTATCGCGTGCGACACGATACGTTGTTAATCATAAAAAAATAACCATATGCAATCAATCCTGATACCGTTTATCAGAATTTTACATTACTTTATTTCAGTTACTACGTAAAAATATCAAGGGGTTGGAGATATAAAAAAATGAGAGTTTCAAATAATTTTTTTGTAGTTTAATTTATTTTAAACAGAAAATAATACAAAGATATTATATATGATGTTTTAATTTTATTTGAAAAAAATTTGTAGACCAAGTTATGATTAAATTTGTTTGACCTCTACTCAGTGTCTAGTCGTTGACCACAGTTATAGTAAACCCACTCGACGGATTTTTGTAAAATTTATACAGCTTATCGAAAGGATAATAAACTAGAGCCCGATCGAAGGATTTCTAAAAATTATATATTATTTATAAGTAATCAACAAGTGTTCTTTTCTTTGAAAATCTGCGAATAAANCGATCGAAGGATTTCTAAAAATTATATATTATTTATAAGTAATCAACAAGTGTTCTTTTCTTTGAAAATCTGCGAATAAATTATTAGAGGTCGTCTTTGTTATCGTAGAAAAAAAAAAAATCTTCAAACAGACACTAGATTAAACTAATGATTTTTTTTTTTGTTTGATTAATTTTGTATGAACTAGTAAATTTTATGATTTCCCTCCAAAGCTTGACCCGTGAGAGGAATTCCAGTAAATATAGTCATAACTTTGCCTATAGTAATTTTTTTGTTAAACAAAGTTAAAAAATAACATAATAACTTTGTACTTTTTGTTGTATAAAATAAAATAAAGTACTGTCAACATTTATTTTTTATATATTCATTTTTTCACCGCTCTGATTACCCCCAACACCTTAAGTAAAATTTCCTTTACCATATTCTAGATATTCGTGAGCGTTGATATCAGTCATCATTTCATCGTAGCTAACAAAATAATAAGCGATTCCATTTTCTTCTCCAGGTTTCAAAGGCCGCGTTGTATCTAAAATGAATGAGCGAAACGATATTTTAAGATAAAAGTTTATTTACTTTATACTATTCCCTAAACGGTTTATAGATATCTTTACTCAAGTGTACCAAGAGAGTATTCAAATAAATACATTGATTTTATAATAAATATATCAACTGGAAGAGTCACTAACGATTCACTTTACAAGAAACATACAAACAAGTACAGTATATTAATATATTAATTTATACAATTCTTGTTACCGATAAATTCATTGGAGTTATTCAAAACTTTAAAGCCCTGTAGGTCTTATGGAAAACAAGAAATACCAGACAGTTTACAATAAGTCACATTGGTCACTATTAATATTAGAAATAATAAGTTGTAATTTTTTGAGTAATTTTCAATTGACTATCAACTATATATCAAATATATATTTTTTAATTTCAGTGAAAATAACTTAAATAATGTAATAATTTTAATCTAGATGATCCGAAATTGATAACAAAATTCAAGATTTTAGTTAAAGATAATTTTTTATTACGTCTAGATAAGATTTATGTTAAATAACTCAAATGGAAATTTCATTTTTCAAAATAATAGTTATAAATTATATTTGAACATTTTTTAATTTATGTTTTGAAACATACACAAATTGGTTAGATAATATACACGCGACAGAATTGACAATCTATAACAAATTGATTACAAAAAAATTTAATCATAAAATATAGAAGTGACCAGGGACGTATTTAAGGTTAGGTTTAAATGGTTTGGAGCCCACAGCAGTTTTTTAAAAGATGAAGTTTACATTTTTAAGTGTATGGCGGTGAATACAAAACAATTTAGGCAACCGGTGCCATATACTACAATTATAATGACGTATAATCAAGTGTTTATTTAACTTTAAATACTATATTAAAAATTTTTTTACATAAAACAAAATTAAAAACGTGGATTTAATAATTAAAATGTCTATGTAGCATAATTGTGAGTATAGGTACGTCGAGTAAAATATTTGACTGCAAAAATAATTACCTTAAACAATAAAAAAAATTTAATAAAAATACTTACGAGCCATAGGATAAGCATATTTATCTGGATGTTTTTGTATGATAGTGTTTTTTATGTGTCTACGGCCTACTCCGTGTGCACCCAACAGAACTAACGTTTTGCGCTTGAATGCTAATGAAAAATAAATACATCTTATAAGAAAAGGTAAAATTTTAGAATTATAATTAAAACAAAGGATGTTTATAATCCGAATTTCCTTTTAAAAGTATTAAAGATTTGTTTAGAACCTTTTAAAATAAACAAATTACACTAAATATTTTTAGTTTAAAAACTATTTTCTTTTAATTTTGAGCATAATTATCATAAATTATTTTACGAGCTTAGTACATATGACTAACCAAAGATTTAACATAAGTACCTTTTAAAAATAAGTATGTGAAACATTTATGATACAACTACGGTGATTATAATTTTGTAGCTAATACCTATGGCCTACCCAATTTATCTTTTACTATTGCCAAATGCTACCCAAAAATGATCCACTTAAATTTGTTAAGATAATCAAGAGTAATTTTCTAACACTATGATAATGTAAAATTAATAAAGACCCTTGAGATAGACTCGAAGACATTTTTTAATCAAAAGAATGCAGTTTATTTTTAATAAATACAAAGAATTTAACATATATTCAGACGTATATTTATCATAAGTTATCTAGAATGTTAAAAATATAACTATTATTTTTCAATAAAAATAGAAAAAAACTCACAAGGTAACTTCACTACTTCCTCATAAGTAGCCAAGTCGATGTGATCGAACACCGCGTTGTGTTTGGCTAGATACTTGTCTTTAAGTTTTTTCTTGCGGCCAAATATTGAGCAATTTACTGAACAAATATTATGGTAAAATTTAATACACAGCATTAATTGAACAAAAAAATAATAGTACTAATTAAGAACTAATAGTCAAGAAATCTATAAAATAGGAGCAAACACATGTCTTTTTAGGTTAGCACTAATAATGATCCCAAATTGGGAAACATTGACTAAGAAGCAAGATCATTGACCATGGAAAAACTATATCTTTTGACTTGTTTTAGTTTCTAAGCAACGATGACCTTACCGGTAGAACCATCACAACCTTCGTGCGAAGAACAACTGGATTCTTTTGGAGCGGCAAAGTAATGAATATTAAATGTACATACAGAACACACAAAAGCAACACGTTTTAGGTAAAAATAATGCACATTTACAAAACACACAAATTAAAAAACAACAATAATAATTGAAATAGCAGTTCTCCCAAATCCTATTAAGAGGCTACTACAATTAATAAATTTGTGTATACAGAGTGTTCAGCAAGTAAGGAAACAGGTTAATTGTTACAAATGAGAACAATAGAAACCCGTTTCCCTTACTTATTGAATATTCTATATAATTTTATCTTAACACCAATAAAAAAATACTCTCCATAGATAATAAATACAATTTAATTGTTGAAGAAATTCTGATAAATATTACTTCAATTAAAGTCTAAAGAATATTTTTAGTAGTTTTGTACTTAGATTTCAAATTTCAAATAAAATTTCAAGTAGGTAATTTAAGTATTTAACTTGAACAAATGGAAAACATAACAATGAGTTATCTATATTTATATTATTATTATTATTGTAGTTATTCATGTTTTACGCATTTAACATCCATAAAAATTTATTTGTACGTAGCAACCCCACTTCCTTATAACAATCAAATTAAGATACCATAAGTTATGTAAATATTAATTATATACGAATAGAATTCTCTCAATTCACTCGGTATTCCCACTGTAACACATACTATAGCAGCCTCTTAACTGTAATAATAACTTTTGGGTATTTATTTTTTAATTTTACCTTGTTCGTGTTTAGAATTCTCCAAGGCTTTACACGTAATTCGCCATTCTTGGAGCTCAGGAGAAGGTATTAGGCCTGCAGAACCGGCAGAATTATCCCTACGGGCTTGCCACCAATGATGGTCGTCTTTACTTATTATCTGTAAAATACAATAAGTACACAGAAACATTAGATATTATCGCAATGGAAGTATAAAACTTAAAAATAATACAATTTTGTTGGGCAACTATGAAATTAGTGGAAAGTATTTTGATCTTAAATAATATTATTTTCCATCTTAGCTCGTTCAATTTACATTGTTAAGGATTTTTAGAGATGAGAATCTAAGTAATTATTACATGAGAGATAAGAAATGGAATTAGTATAAGTTTTTAGTTGGTATACAATGTATTAATTCAATTAAAATATTGATTATTCAATGTTTCAAAATATCATTTGTTTTAACTTTTATAAGTTGAATGATTTAATATTTTATATGCACGCTTTTAATAGATTTGTTAAATATTCTATTGTTTAGTGGTAAATTAATTGAAAAGTAAATATTTCTTTAAGAACAAACATCATTATTTTTCTACCCAGGATGAGATATACAGGGTGTTCAGTAAGTAAGGAAACGGGTTTCTTTTATTCTCGTGGTTTGTAACAATTGACCTGTTACCTTACTTACTGTACACCCTGTGTATTATAACTAATCAATTTGTTCTATACCTGTAAAATGTCACCAATGTTGAACGTAATGCCGGCCTGAGCACAAGGGATTAAGTCGTCTTGCAACGGGTCGTAGCTGAACTGAGCACGGACAAATATCTAAGGAACACATTTTTATGCGCAAAATGGATTAGGGTTAGGAACGATAATAATATATAAAGTACATAAAATTTCCATTGGTATTTTTTATTGAAATAAATTTTATAATAAAATATCAAATAAAACAAAATTAATACGTAGATAATTACATGCAGTCTATTTAGGATTATAAATAATAACAAAATAATTATCATAAATTTTTAACATAAAACTAAATAGTATAATTTAAAAAAAAACACTACAACAACATAAAATTAGTACGAGTATAGTAACACATCTAATGTACTTATGTTATTCATAAAAAAATAAAAATAATAGTTTTGAAAATTATATTGTTAAGTTATACACATCATTTAATTATTTATTATACTCAGTCCCATGTTAAATATACTGTAAAGAATATTAAAAGAGGTAATGTATGATATCGTCATTATTATTTATGCTTATTATTAGCTTATTAGACTATTATTTTATACTTACAATCACAGGTAATGGTTTTATCCTGAATAACTATGTACAGGCATAGGGAAAAATACACAAAGAATATAAAATTTATATTGCATAAAGGTAATTACTAATTAGTTAGAGAGTTAGAATTGTAAAATATTTTAATATTAAATGTCAACAAAATCTAATTTCCTGACGAAGGCCAAATTTTGGAAAATAGAACTTTTTAAGTGAATTAATTTAATGGCGATTTCAGTAATCGAGAAAAGGATAAAAGTTTAATAAGACTTAATGGAGTTAGTCGATTGACGGTAGATTTTTTAATTTGGCCAACACCGGATAGAGTACACTTGGGCTTACTTGTACCTCGCACGGTGGTGGTGCGCTTCGATACGACGGCACTATCTTGAAAGTAACAGAACCCCTAGCTTCTCTCTGTAAAGAAAATTAAACAATTATTTAATGTTAATATTTATATTAACATCACAAGTCTCTAATATGTTTTTGTCGTACCATTTATAATTTTAAAAATGCGCTTAGAGATAATAAAATATGTTTCATAATTTTTATGATGTAATGATTATTATAAGAATTATAAAACAATAATAGTAAAATACATGAAAATTAAAATCAATACATAAATTTTAATTTTAGTAACCAAAAAAGTATATTTTAAAGCCAATTTTTAAAATTACCTAAACAGTCAACGTTAAACTATCACTTTTATTATGATAATCAATATTCAACTTCCAAAAAAATTAGGTTGGAACTAAAATCTTAGACCATATATTAAAAATGTCGAATTGGTATTCCTATTTTTCAAAAACAATATAAATGATTATTGACTAAAGACTGGAGTGATAAAACACGAATGTGAATTAATGTTCTATTATTTTTTTAAAAACATAATTAAGATAAACCGTATCTTCGGTGTTTAAACTTATTCCTTGTTGTTACTCGTATCATATATATATATATCAATCTAAAATGTACAGAAAAAAGAAAAAGATCCTTGACCTAACAATTCTAATAACGTGTCTGACATAAACATAAAATATGTGTTTTCTCTAAGGTTTATCTATTTTAACAAATACTGGATTTGTGTAGTTTTAAAAAAAAAAACACTGAATGGTATGCTGACCAAGAGTTTTTGAAGCGCTCCGACCGACTGGTTGGCGACAGATATTCCGTTTATCTCACGGATTTCATCTCCAACATGTAGTGTGGCTTGCCGGTGGATCATACCACCATGCATGATCCTCGCTACAACACATTTACCGTCCTCATTCATTTTCAATGTTATACCCTAAAAACAAAACAAAAAAAACATATAAAAGTGAATATAACAGCGAAAAAATAAATAAATTACACTTGTGGCAAATTAAAACAAAAATAATTTATATTACATAAACCCCAAAAAATTATAAAAAATACTGACTAGCGAGTACATAACTTGGTTATGATGTCGTTCTCATCAGCTGATGAAAATTTAGAACTTTTTGAATCATTAAACGATGAGTACTTGGGTTAACCAAACATTGGTTCAAGAAGTGCAGATATAATATGGTAATTAAAGTTTTTTTTTAAGAAAATACCAAGTAAATTTTATAAAACAAATTTCACGGATAAATAGTATTTATATAAACAATTCAATTAATACAACATTAGTTAAAGTATTAAAATAAAATTATTTTTTGTGAAAATAATTTTAATTGTATGAAAAAATAACTTTATGCATTTAATAGTTTTTGGGTAGAAAAACCTGAAATAAAAATTAATAAATTCATCAACATTAGGATTAAATTTAATATAAATCAAAGTATAGGCCTAATGCGCCACAGCCTGTTAAATCAAATGATATTATTCAAAGTAGAATGTATTTCACATTAATACTTGGACACCTTCCTGTTGCATTTATTTTTTTTATGTTTGTAAGTCGAGTGTAACGTTGAAATGTTGCCAAAGCGTTAAACAATAAAAAAAATAAAAGGGGGCGCATTAAATCTTTTATTTTTTATGGTTCCGTTAATTTATTCACGTACTCTATAGAATTTAAATATCCAGAGTTGTTTAGTAAAGGTATTTTATGAAAGAACATAGACATCTATAAACTACGACTGTTACAGTCATGAAATTAATCCATTAACAGCTCTATTGTAGGTGGTACACGTTGTAGTTGCAAACATGACTGCACAATATTCAACTGATATTGATTGTTTAGTTTAATGATAACAATAATACCAATTGATCAAAAAACAACCAATACAAGACGTAATAAAATAGCCACAAAAATGAAACAATTTTAAGGAATGGTGAAATCAAAATCAGAAAAGGTGTCCCACCAAAAATTCTAATTTCAATAACTGTTTAAACTTAAAATTATTTTAATTTATTATATGTGTTCGCAGATATAATTGCTGTGAATATATAAATAATTTACAACATTTAGTAAGTTAAATTCAAAAAGGGATAATCTAACACGATTTTAACAGTTGATAGAATTGATAAGAGTGAATTATAAGAGATAAGTGCTGTGTAATGTATTAATAGTTACTTTAATATGACGATGCATCTAACCTTAGTTTGTTTAATACATTTATTTCACACCTTTATCTTTATTTTACATAGAATATTTCATAAATATTAATACACTATAACACGCGAGATGTAATGCAGTTAAATCATTTAGATTTTATAAATTAAAAATTTTCCAGGGAAAAGTTTTGTAAGCTTGAATTTTTTTTTTTTTAATTTAAACGTATATATACATGATTTTTATAGATAAAACTAACATTTTTAAATACGTGGTTTGTATGAACATACTAATGGTTATTTATATGATCTATATATTAAGGCTAGTATATATGATAAAATAATAATATAAGTAAATTAATATAATAATAAAAGTAAATTAATGTTTTGTATAGCAAAAATGCTAATAAATGTACAATACCGTAAAAAATGTGATTAAACAAAATATAAGACTTTTGACCAGTTAAAACTATTATTATTTACCCCGTTATGTGTTAATTCAACTTATTTATATTTTTTAGATTCGAAAAACTTTTAATTTAACTTTTAATCAAAAGTAGAAAGATAGTGCTATTAAATGAAATAAATCAGAGCTTGATAACTTGTTTCTATCAAAAGTTATGTGAACCATAAAAATGCATTTATCACAAATAGATTTTTTATCAAAACTATTAGACCATTGTTGAATTGAACCATTCAAATTATTGTTAGAAATAAAAACTGTAATTTATAACAAACTTTGACAATTATTTAAATAATGTACCAGTGTTAAAAAAACAATTTTACTTACCATTGGCTCTTCGGTATTTTTTTGAAATTGCACCAACCTTACCCTGGTGACGTTCTCGGGCTCCACGTCATCTTCCAGCCCGTCCTCGCAGTCTTCCACCCCGTTACCGTTTAAATAAGGTAAAACTAACGGTGGAGTGACCCTAACAGCTTCCTCACCGAATATTTCGTGCGCGGCCACGTCATGTGATTGCATTAACGACTGAAACAAACAAACAAACGCAATTCCCAATAAGTAAACAGTAGAATTTTATCGTAAGCATTAATAAAACTATTCTGTTTTCAAAATAAATCGCAACAAAGAGAAGTTTTAAAAGATGTCATATTTTAAAACTTAACAAGCGTTTTGATGACAACTATTTGTCGATAATTTAAGCATTGTCTTGCTGTCAACGAACCGGTAAAAGCAGCTGTACACAATAACTAAACTGGTGCTTTAGCAAAATGACTAGAGTGTGCTAACAAAGATTCCATAAGCAACCCTTTTGAGACACACGACTTCGTAAAATATACGCCAACACCATAACAAATTAGGTATACGTCTCGCACAAATATAATTAAACAAAAATAAGAAACATAACAAAAATAATTCACTAAACTAATTTATTTGTATTCTGTTTAGATTGGAACAATACCCGTTATATTATATACATGGAATGTTTCGTCTAATGTGTACAGGTGTATCTATTAGGAGTACAGCCTCGTGAGTTATGCGAATTAATAAATTAATTATCGTTAGCAATGCTTGAATCTTTTTAGTTGCTATAAAATATTTGATAAGATGATTTTTTTCTCTCATCATAACATTTTTTGTTGAGAAAAAGTGTTTGGATACGCTACTAAACTCGTTAATATACAATGTCTTGGACCTAATTGACAACACTTACAACTTTCGATAAAACTATCATTTTGTTAAAATATTTTTCATAAAATAATTATTACCTTCTTAAACTACGTTTAAAATATATTTTTTTATTATTTATCACACTTTAGTGAATTTTATAACTGTAATTTTTTGTGGAAGTTAATGAACTGATTTACAATACAAAGTATTTCCTTTAGAAAAATATTAGCAAAAATGTTACAATTTTTTCTCGCTATTAGTTCTTAGTAATTATACGGCCTTTATTTACATATACTGTAAAAATGTTCATTACATGTATTAAAAAAGGCAAGAAACATTTTCCAAACGAATAAGTTTCAATTTAGTTTTAGTAATTAATTTTGTAGTAGTAAAATATTAATTTATTTTTTAACTGTATCGATTATTGAAATTGAGTGTCAGTTTTTAAACAAATAATATCAATTAATAAGTAGGCTTATTAAGCACATTGGATTAAAAATTCTAATATTTTTAGTGCCTTTAATTGGTCGACGAGTAATCAGTTATAAATAATATAATTGATTGGAAAAAATGCTAACAATAAAAACTATGTTAAATCTAAACTAAAGTGTTCTTCAACCTCTTAGTATAATTTTTGATAACATCATAAGTTGTAATGAATTTTATAGGTCAATTCGTCTTATAATGATACGCTTAACAAATAGAAATTGCGTTTAAATTTTTAGTGGAAAAAATTTATGGTAACTGGGTTTTCTAAAATAGAGTGGGGGCTACAATATTTCCCAGAAATCTATCATAATTTAGAACTTCTAAATTATACGAAATTAAATTCTTTAAACATACATAATAATTATACATAAAGCTATATTGGAGGAACGCGATAGATAGCAACAAAAAATTTGCCATTTTTATAAATGTTAAACATTTTACTTAATTTTTAACATTTTATAATTTATACTATGTATTTATTCAAATAGATCTTTCTTTTGAACTATTAATCAACTTTTGAAGATAAGTGCTTAAAGAAAAAATCAGAAGAGTAATATTTTACGGGTTGTTCATACCCATGTTTTTCTGTATTCAGATTGTTATACAACTCTTGCATGTTATTGGATTGTTGTCGTTAATATTTCATATTAAACCTAATCTAATGTACTCATAACAAGTAAATTAAATTAAAACATTTGTTGTGAGATTTTCAATTTTACAAAATGTTGACTTTTTTAATTTCAATTGCCGTATAATCTTGATTTTAAAAATCAAGAAAGTAAAAAAAGTCATAAGCTTTTAATTTAAGATTGTTACTAGTCTGGATACGAGCAAACTTTGAGAGGAAGTGGACCTTTTTGCAGACGAAGAAATAAACAATATGTACTTGATGTTTTAATAGATTCTGAAGAAGTTTACAGTTACATTACTGTTGGTGGTTATCCCCAGCGACGTTTTCACTAGTAAAACTCGCCTATAGATCCGTTTCAGGAAGTTTTGTCTTAACAAAATTAAAATGTTAAATAAACGGTCTCAAAAGCAACGGCTGAACTCTCGAGTCAAACCCCCTTGTTCCAGTTATTAAACTCGACTAGTGAGCTCCAAGTGTACAGTAAAAAGTTTTTTATGCATGCTTCCTTTTGTGTTTTAGTCTATTGGACTTGGACCATACACTTTACTCGCCTAATCATTTATACTGCCGACTAAAAAACCACACCTGCTGTTATCGTAAATCGATTTCAAATCAAAGCACACTGTGAAATTCAATCACATCATTACTTTTCAATGAGAGACCTGCACGACACAAGAGTTGCAATACAAACATATCAGCAACAATTTAAACAAGTGCACTTGTAATAGAATTCATTAAGACTCCGCCATTGTTAATAAAAATTACCGTAAAACGGTCAAGTGTATTGAATTACGCCAACAGACTTATTTTTGTGGTGAAAACAAAAAAGTTTTTTTTTAGCCACGGAACAGACAGTTGAGCAAATACTGTACTAATGGCGGCAACGAGAGTTAAGAGATCCGGGCGAAAAAACTTTGGTGTTTAAAAGAGCTATTAAATTATGACAGTTGCCAACGTCGTTTAAAAATGTTACGTTAAAGCTCGACACCTTTTGCGGTATTTGCACAGCGGTTTTACACGTTTGCTATATCGTGTGTACTATTATGTGTGTGCATAATAAACGTCATCGTACAATAGGTTTTGTCAACATGGACGTGTAGCACACAAGTCAAACAGAACTTTTGCTAAACTTACACCGCGCACATATTTATTTATTTAGTTGTTTATTTTTTCTACACAAAGCAGAGGGCCAAAGAGAATTAATTGTAGACCAATTTAGAACGGATATAACGAAGTGGAGAGTACATTTTTATTTACATTTTGTGGTAAACTTAATTATTTGTATATATTTACACACGACAGTTAATTTTATTTGTGTGTTTAAATTTTTTATTTTTATGATCGACGATCACCCGTGACCACGTTTATGATGTCAATCATAAATTCTACGATAGTGAAATTTAAATAAAATTCAATCGCATAAAGCCAAAACGCTGAATTTTATGCGCACAAAGCTTATCCTGGTTCAATGTGAACACCGATAAAGAAATGAAGGTGAGTTCACAAAAACCAATGTCAAGCATAAAATTAAAATAAATATCGCATTTCCAAAAAAATGACCGGTACTACCATTAAATAATAGGATAATAATAAATTTTAGAATATTACCAAATCATTTTTAATTGAAATAGAAAAAAAAAAGACAATGAAATATAAATCTACCCAAATGGTTTGTCATCAACGGTTGAAGTAAATCACCTTCAACATTTTGATAAAATAAAAAATTGAACTGTGAAGTATAGGTCACAACAAAATCATAGATTGTGTTTGACTAATCCATCCTCATTAGATATTATCATTATATCGTTTTTGTTGAGTCAATTGTTTTCAACTATCAACAGTACAGTGTACTTATACCGTACGTGGAATTAATAAGACGACACGTCTATGAGAAAAAATTAACAAGTATACATGGAATATAGATACTGTTATATGGTTACAATAGATGAAATTGATAAAATTAAATGTGGTGTATGCTCTTTCAAATGCTAATACTCGTAGTTCTAACATGTTTAGACGTCTATTTATAAAATCACGTATCTACCGAGAACAGAAATCAAGCTAATAATTTATGCGCATATTTAATTACACCGAGTTCATAAGGTTTTAATTTCGTTGACGAAATGTAAACGATTCCATTTTGTATTAGTGATTTTGATAAAAACATCAAATAGCTCGGTATAAAATTTTTTTATACCGCACTTTGTTTAATGTAAAAGTTAAACAAGATCAAACAAAAGAGCAAACGGCTTAAACACGTGAAGCAGAACAATAAAACCAATTTAATAGTTGTAATGTTTAATTTAAAGTTTCCAATAGATATTTCACATGTCGTCTGTTTTTCTAGAAGTAAAATGTTTCCAATAACTAATTACACTTCTTGTTCAATAACCTGGAACAATGTTGCGACGCTGCAAATTGCACACGAGATAAACGTGGAAATTTCTATATTTTGATATGCGAAAATGTTAGAAACACACGTCTGTATGAAACACGCTCTATTCTTTGATCGACCACACGAGAATGATAAATGGCGATAGTTTCATTTTGCCATCTACGTTTAGAACTTTCCTCCAACAATCATAGATCACCGATGATGCAATAACGATGCCGGCAGCACATACATCCCGAGAAGGGCACAAAGTTAAAAATACCGAGAACAAAGACGGAGCAAAACCTTTATTCGGTGTAAAGGTGAAATGTATTGTTGAGATTATCCGAGGAAAACGAGAAAAACCCGAGTGGAAACTTAACGCAGTTGGACACACGACCAAGTGCCGGGGGAAGAGCGTTTGCCTCGACGTAACTCCATCGGAGAGGAGAATGTCGAAAACAAAATAAAAATATAGATAATGAGCTTTAGTCGGTACACGCTTCAAGCAAAAAAATATCGTTCCCAATAAAAAGTACAGATCCGGAGATGTTGTGAGGGACGGAATTTGTACATTGAAAAACTTGTGCCAACACTCACTTGCACACCGTCTGCCGTTGTTAAGCTGCCGCCATTCAATTATTATGGCTGTGTATGTGTATATCGTTCTGAATCGCTTAGCGTTATCGCCGCACTCAATGGCCGACAAGTGTAACCTGTCCATCAATCACTCGATCCTTTGCTGCGTTGCAAAACCCGACAAAGGCCGAGTTTGGACGTTGGCTTATGGCGCGACGAGGGGTAATTCCGTACAAACGAAAAATAACGAGCGCGGTAAAAAAACGCATAGGTCTGGGCGGCCACGGAAAACTTGCGCAATTCATTAGCCGCCAACTCGACGGGGTGTGCAATCGGCCGACCTTAAAATTAACTCTAGGCCGAAACTACCAAATAAAAAACCGACCGACAATACAAATTCGACCAGACTCTATTTTTTTTAACTTTGTCCTCTTTGCGCGCGCCGTTAATGCACATTTTTAGAGGCCTCACTTATTTAGTAATTTTATAATTTTTTAATTATTGTCGTGAACGCGTAGGCGGCCGCTGCTGTGTAAAATATAACGCGGCGTAAAGCTCTGTCGAGTTTTATCTACCCGTACACCTTTCAACATGCTGCATAATTAATATTATCCCATCGCCGTGGAAACATCTTTCCAGACGAAAGTAGACGTTTATATTTTATCCAACTTTTTACATAATATAAATATAATTTTGGAACTTTTAGCAACTCGAATTGTTTTCAATAGTGAAGTTATTTTCTAGAAACGATTTTTTGATAACTTGTCAATTAAACCAAGCACATATGTGTTATTGTATATTGATTTAAGAAAAAACATTGAGACGATTAACGATTTTGAGTCGAACAAATCATTTGAATCAAACGTAAAATTCACGTATTATAAACGATTTGATTGTAAGCGTTGTAATTAAATTTCAAATGAAATCGAAGACGGGCCAAAAAATGTATTATAAATACTAATCAATTCGGGTTACACATCGATTCGTTTTATGCACAGTAACTAATAAAACATTTTGAAAATATCTCAATTAATATGAGTTTTCAATTAAACAAGAGGATTTTATGATGATCACGGCTTGTCATCGGTGGCTGGCATATCCATTAATGAACAAACTATTAAACAGGACGGAATCATGTTGGAATATATCAAAGCGATACATTTTATAGGCGTTACTTTATGACGTGTAAGAATAAAGAGTCATTAAAATGGAAAAGTTGGGTGACTGTAAATGAACGAGACAACTTGATATATTACAGAGAACACGATTATTTTAAGTATAGTAATATACAAGAAAATAAAGCAAGTTTGATACAAATTGCTATCGTTAGAACACTTCTAAAGTTGACGCATTGCGAATGGCGTAATTAAATTGTAAATTAAAAAATGTAGTGAAACCTTAAAATTTTTAAGTATTATGATAATTTCACTTCAGACTAACGTTTACAGAAGAAAAAAATTGTTAAAAATACAAATAGTGCTAACAGTAGAGTGAGGATCAGATATTATATAAAGGGGACAAAAACCATGCAACGGAAATTGGCGTTTCAACCGAAGCATTATTTTTTTATGTACATATGACCACTGTTTAAATTTTGTGTTATAATTGTTTGTAGCTGTTCAAAAGACTTGTGAGCTGTATATCGTTAATACCCATTAATATTATTAATTTCGTGCGTGTTCGACTAGGGTTAAGGTCAGAATGCTGGTCCTGATAACTAATGGGAAAGCTGGCTAGTCTTTAGGCTCTTCTTTAGTCGGTAAAGAGAAAAATTGGTTGTGATAGTGACTAACGGATAGTCTTAGTCTTCTACTTTAGATCTGAACCTCGCCGACGGGTCCGGAAACTACCTCTTTCTTAGCTCTGTAGTTTGAGGAGCTGTGCCGACCTATGAAACTCCGACGGGAGGACTTGTCGAGAGCCATTAATGCGTTTTGACTATAAATATACATTAATTGTATATTTAGAATTGAAGATAATTACATTTTGTGTGTGACGCTAGTCCACTAACGTAAAACAAAAAGTTAACACATAAAAATCCGATTCGAAACGTTTTATTTATTATTAAATGTTTGATTCGACGTTTTTATCCGAGAATATTGTAATTCGTAGCAATACTTAAACACCGAACTGAAAACAATTAGTTACTAACACTTATACAAAAAGGAAATAAAAAAATCTCTCGACAGAAATTATTAACCGCAGAAACTCAAGTGATATTTGTGAGCGTTGTTATTTTCTTATTGTGTTAAACTGTAGCCGGCAATTGATTTATAACATAAAAATGAATTGCCAAACACGTTACCGATATGATAGATGAAGTTCAATTAACTAGGTACCAGAATAGCTGTTCGAAGATTTACAGCCGACTTCGTGTGAATTGACAGAATGTGATGCGATATGGATAATGGTCTAAACTAGGTGCTGCTGCGAAAATTAATTGGCCAGTAGCTCAAAGTGAGAAAATCGTTGACGTAGCACAGAAACGATGGCGAAACCCTATCAATAGTAAACATGAAGTAACTGCATCTTACTATTTTTCAAGAGTACATAAAATTTATGTACTTATTATGACCGTATTTAATACGGTCGCAATGGAAGAGTATTTTTATTGAAGAAAATAAAATTACAATATTCATAAGCGCATTAAAAATTAAACCGGAAAATTCAAAAAAATTCGTATTTATTTATAGTATGGAAGTATATTTAAAATTGTCTATACCAAATAAAATTCATCATTACTGGTTTAGGAAAAAAATTACACGAAAAAAGCAAAACTTTATTAATAGTAGAAACTTGGACAAATTGTTATATTTAAAAAATCAGATATTAATAAAAATCATAGAATATGCTGTATGATATGAGAAATAAACTTCATAGGAGATGTGGAATACACTAATTTAAAATACTGGAAAAAAACAAGTCTTGGGTGATAAATGTGACGCAAAAATATTCAGAATTACATCTTAAGTTGTAATTGTGTTCATTTAACGACGTTTACTTGAAGACTGAATATCTCCGTAATATTGTTGTCAGCCCAGATATTTCTATGATGTTTGTTTCTCGTGTATCGTTTAGATATTATGACAGTTTTACAAGCAATTTAATTATTAATTTAGCAATTTCTTTCCACTCTTGTTAGGAAAAAATGAGGATCTTTCCTTTAACGATACTATAGTCGTTGCTTGTGATAATAACCAAAAGTATTAAAGCTTAATAAAAATTGTTTAAATGTATCTAATTTTGAAATGAATTATTAAATGATTTTTGTTTTTAGTAAATTAAACTTATTGTCATAGATCAAGAAAATAAAATATCGAATATTATTCAATTTCTAAACACATGTACACATGTTTTTGTTTTAAGAAAGTAAAAACGAGGAAGACGTCAAGTTAATAGAAAAACATTTGAGAAAAGGAATATAAAAGGAGAGTATTCGAAAAAAATGTATGAAACAATTCGAAGTTTAATTTGGTAAGATAGCACTTTTACTTAATTTAAACGTAACTTATTTTACTTTAAAATATATTCCAATACTTTATAAAAATAAATAAATTTCTCGATTAAAAACGCAAGAGCTCTAATTAAAAATAAACAAAACAAAAATATTTTAATTAAATATTCATTTTAAGCCGCAAAATTAGTATAAAATATTATAATTATTTCTCAGATGACCCCGGGGTTTCGGATTGTTGGTAATTTATTTTTCATTAATTTTAAAAAAAATAGGAGCAAAATATATTATCATTACAAACTGGCTTAAAAATAAACGACGACAAATCTTAGGATTGTCATCAGAAGTTATGGAAAAAAGATTTAGGGAAATCATGATTATGTAAATTAAATGAACGAAAAAATTAGTCATAAATCAAGTCCAAAATCAAGTCCAAAATCATGATAATGGTAAACTATCGAAGTATGTATGTATATAGTGTGCAGTGAGTAGAGATCAATTAATTTTTCTGTGGCATGCTTCAAATACATCATATATATTTTTGACCAATTTCATTACCGTTTACTGCAACCACTAATGTATATATTCCCTCGGCTAAAACATTGGAAATAAATCATCATAACAGCAAAAAATATACAATAAAACGTCATGCAAGTTCAATTTTATATTATGCCCATGTAATTATGTTACAATGATATATATCACAAAATATATAAACGATAAAATGCTACAAACGGAGAAGCAAACGGTTTGAAAAGACACAGGTATTTATAATATATTCTATGATATTGAAGGTTTTTTGTGTATGCTAACGCTGTAAGTTCAATTTCAATTAATATACAACGAATCTAAGCCGAATGAATTAAATATTGATAAATGTATGGCAACTAAAAGCGATCTGATAGTGTCATGAGCACATTCTAAGCTGTCCTTTTAACGTTGAACGAAAAAGAACTCCCAACGCTAAAAAATAGAAGACTAAATAAAATATTTATCATGAAGAGAGCAGCGTATTGGCAAAAAAAAAAAAAGCGGTTATATCAAACAAAGGTTTAGATATTTCTTATTTCTCGAGACATTTTTGTTAAAAGTAGATCCCGAGAATGAAAAAAATAGAAAACATATATATCAAAAATTTTAATAGTGTTTATATAGAACATTTGTATTAATTCGATCATTAACGCGATAGTTAAAAAGAGGTGTATTGTGTTCGTGTATTTCTGAATTTACAAATAACATTATTTTTTTCAAATAAATTTCTCTATTCATCGCAAAATCGAAATTGTATTTCGATTGCTCTCCTTGAGATTAATCGATTTACAACAACCTGTGCTACAAAAGTTTAACACTGAACGGGACAGCAGGTGGGTATTGGGACTTAAAGGTCGCAAGCACGTGAGAAGAGTAATTGTGACAAAAACGAGAAAAAAAAAAAGAGTATTTCGACTTGCTGCTGTTACACACGTATTTTGTTTGCCAACAAAGTGAAAATTATTAGGGTCAGAAAATCAAACGACTCTTATGCAATCACGAGTGTGAAATTAACATGGACTGCTGGGTGGATTGAGATGTGTGTTGGGTACGTTATTATAAGTTTTCTTTTTTGATTGTTAAAGTTTCAGTGGCCCATAGTTATAATGCTCTACTGTATAAAAGCTCAATTTAAAAGAGTCACACTTATGTTGTATTGACAGCATAATGACAACTTCAGCGTGCAAAGAGATAGGTGATGAGATTACACGGAAAATATGTACCCCAGATATTTTCTCGTGCTCAACATAGGTGTAATTAAGTGGTAATATAATAAATAGGTGTACGTTGCATTATTTTATAATGCTCTCTCATTCCTGAGGTAATTTTACGGTAAAACGAACCACGGACAATCCGCGTGAAACTAACATTGAATTACATTTCATCTCTTCTAGTATATTTATAAATAATAAACGGATTCAAAAGGAAGAAAACCCGTAAAGCTCAAATTTTCACTACGCTGGGTTTTAATTTGGTTTTGCGTTTCACTACTATTCAAAAAAAGTTTTTAAACAATAAATTACAGATCCGGTGCGAATAAAAAACAAAACGGAAAAAAATTATGGAATGATATTGTAGAATTAAAAGTATCAGCCATTTTAATACAACATACTTAACACATTCAATTATCAACAGAATCATAGGGTAATGTGATTTCGGTCATGGCAGTGGTATGCAGAATATTAATGATTAAACCGAATAGGAAGTTGTTCCAAATTTAACGACTGTACAAGGCGACATCTTTAAAAGCTAAACCTCTGGAAAGATAAGAATAACAGTACTATAAGAAGAGAAATGAAATAGAGGAAAAAGGACGGATATTTCAGTCCATTAACTTTTCGAGAAATATTATGTCAAGGTATCTCTCTCTTACTTCATGTTTTAAGTCTTTTTTTTCTAGAAAATTTCTACATTTTGACATAAAACAGTAATAAAATCCAAACGCCGTTGTATAGTTTTCATATTCATACAACGAGATATCAAAAATACCAGTCGCATCTTCATTTTTTATTTGATTTCTTTCATAGCATAAATTTAATATTATTCCGAAAATTTTAGATTTTAAAATGATTACAAATATAATAGGAAATATATTTTCATTATTTATTCAATATTACAATAATAATTAACGACGAGATGAGATTTATGTTATCACATGGATTATCTGTCCATCACTATTCAAACTATGACACACAATTTCTTATATATAATTGAATTGCAGTGTTAAAAATACGGAAAGTATAAATGATAATACTGTTTTTTAATTAAAAATTTATTTATGTTTATATTAACAATAAAAAAATACTTGATTTTGTGTATACGAGTACATTTATACAATGTTACGAGATATTTCTAGAAGAGTAATAGAAATCTACAAGTTATGACTTTAAATCTAGAGTTTTAAATGTCATAGTGTTGCTTACTCAAAAGGGTCCGATGTGAGATTTATAATATTGTTACTATAACATATTAATAATAAAGTTATTATTTAGACTTGAAACGAATACATTATTTTGGGATTCGCAGTTCTGGTAATAGACTTTCTGAGGGAAAACTACATGATACTACGTATACATTTTTTTTTTTTTGACATGTCATGTAAATGTAAAAGACAAAAATAGTACACATAAAACCGCTACTAAATTTGCCACAATAAAAACCCGAATTCGATTAAATTATGCGAGAGAAATACAATTACATTGGTCATTTATTTACGTCGGGTCCAGCTTAGATATGACACAGCAAGAATAGCACGACCGAAGGATTTATGGTGTTAGTGGGTAGATAAACGGAAGTAAAGGAAAATTATTGTTGTCCGGGTGCATCGCAGTACGAGCATTAGTGACAGCAAAATGTATAAATCGGTTCTGTACGGTTGTTTACAGGCACAAGATGCCGAAGGGTTTTAAAGGCCGTTTATATAAACATCGTTCCGTTGCTTAACGAAGCTACAGGAGACGATAACAATCGACAGTGCTGAATTACAAATCTTGATCTTCTACTGGAGTTGACCAAGCAAATATGGTAAATTTATAAATGTGTCCACACCTGTTATAGATGAAGGTTTAGATAAAAAACAAAAGAATGAGGTTAAACGGTTCCAAAGATTTGTTCGTGTGTTTATTATTGAAATTGCCATAATTATGACTTACATCAACAGAGCGAATGTTATAACGTTTATAAGCAAATGTTTCAAATAATGTTTTCAGATTTAAAAAGAATTATTTTTTTAGCCATTTACGTGGTTAGAAAATGAATAACCAAAAAAACTGTTGACGTGAATCACGAAAAACTAATTACAGTACACCAGAGTGTGAAATCTAGTGATGCCATTGTTGAAATACCTATTAATTTAGAATAGACGACGATAGTTGGTAAATTCACTGAATAAAATGTCCAACTTTATATTTTAAACATTAATAGTGTTAGCTCAGCAATAAGAGTGTTTATTTTTTTTTTTTAGCAAACATCTCTGCGGTAAATTTCTATTTTTATTTGATGGTAATTACTCTTATCGAAAATGTTAAGTGTTTTTTAATGACCAAATCGGTGAAATTCAATTATGGGAAAATTGAAATTTGGACCTATAAGGACTAAGACGAAATAAAACTTAATGCGCATAACTAATAAAACGTTAACATCGGTATTATTACACGTTTATGTACATAAAATGATACAACACGGAATTGTCGAGTCGTGTATTTGTTCGAATAATGATGATTTTGGAAATGTTGAAAATTATGTAACAAGGTTCATATGTAAGATAAGAGGAGTATAAAAAGAACGACCGTAAAATAATCGAACTGATTATCCGTTCTGTTGTTATAATAAAGTTTTTTTTTTGTTATACGCCCTTTATCCGTATGGGATGTGCACTTTAAATCGAATAAAAACGTAAACGGTATTAAACCGAACGACGAGTATAAGCTTCTGTCAAGATAGTGCTGCCTAGCAAAGTATAACATTGAATTGGGCGCATTTTGTATCTTCCTGTGCCGTTCAATGTTACTAAAACACTATTCATGTCGTCCGAGCAAATATCAAGTTTATACATTGCAACTTTAATGGGCATTATTGTATTCTCGTGATTATTCTGATTATACACAAAACTAGAGTACAATGAATGTTTTTACGCAACAAAAGAATTAATAGAGAGTATATTTCAGTTGAGAGACACAAATCTTGATTGTAAATTTTCTAAAAACTTAAACAAATCTAGATAAAAAAAAAAGGTTCAGTTACAAATCCATCATTCAGAAAAAAAAAACGTTTTCAGAACTTATCGAAGAATTCAACTCATTTTCGATTTAATACAACATATTATTTCAGGCGATTTCTTTAGTTATCCAAAATTATATTCCTTCAAATTTCTTTTAATTTAGTAGGAAAATGTTTGAAAAAATTCATGATAAAATTAATATTTTCGCTGCCGGATATTAAAAAAATTTCAATTACGAAAAATATAAAACAGATTCTTTTTTAAAAAAAAGCATGAATAATGTGTACTATATTACAAATGGATATGGTTATAAAGTAAATTGAATTTAAAAGATGCAAATAAATTATAGTTTTTGCATAAAAAAAATTGTACACTCTTTACATTTTATTATAATATTAATGTACTGTATATTTTGTAATTCTACAACGCATATATGTTTACATGAATGTTTTTAATCAAACATTCATCTGTTATCTTAATTAAAAAACATCAATTACCCTAAATATTTTCCACAGAATAATATTTTATTGAATTATAGCTGTTATAGAGGCTACTTCATAATACACTAAAAGAGGAATTAGTATAAACATATTGATGACTTTCTGAGATATCAGGAGACTGAGAAGTCGATTATAGGCCACTACTACAATGTTCTTGAGATAAATTGTACGAAATATAATTCAAAACTTCTTCGGTCAACCATAAATAATATTCGTATCTTATTATAGAAAATATGGAACAATATAAAAACGGATAATAAATATAAGGTAAGTTTCTAAAGTATAATATAAAAGTTTAACGGTTTGTACTTTTCTACATTTCCACATTAAAATTTCTCAAAGTAATACCCATCAGCTTTAGTTATTATTATATATTATTTTAAATTTTCATCATAAAAACTACAATTTATGATCCAACGAAGTTCTTCGATAATAATGTTTTTTGTGATAAAAGATTCGTTAGTAGAAAAATATTTAAAAAACTCGATTATACATGATTTAGATCTATATGATTTATTTCGTAGTTTAAACAATAAATTCAGCGAATTTAAATTGTATTTGGAATATTCAACTATAATACATCAGTAGCGTAACAACGAGGGGGATTAAATATGGAAATTATATAACCCTTCAACCAAAACCTTTAATAAGCTAATACAATTTTATATTTTATTTTTAACGCGGAATGATAATTTACAAGAAATGAAATAGTACATAGATAGGTCTCAAGTAATAGTAGATAAATAATATGGAACATAACAGATAACAGATAACAAGAAACAAAGTAACAATAACAAAATATTAATAAAAAGATAGGAAAAAAAAAATATTTATAGTAATTATATATACAATTTTTAGTAATTAAGGAAACGGGTTTTTATTGTTCTCTTTTTTTTGTAGCAACCGACCTGTTACCTTACTTAGTGAACACATATTGTGTATAGTAGTTTGAAAGGGGTAACGAAAATTCTTCTCGTGTTTACTTCCTAATAGAATAAAATACTAGCTACGTTTCTGTTAATTACTAGAAAAATTCTTAAAAAAAATTATCTAAATGTTGATAAAAAAATAAATAAAAGTTGACGTAAAATGACATTTATGAAATTAAAGTAAGTAATGGTCTAACGAGATTTTTATCAGTACTTTTATTTCACAGTACAACATGTCATCTTTGAGCAGACATGCACGTGCCCATTTGTTAACGTCTAAATAGAGATTAACATAGTAACATAAAGGAAAAAAACGAGAATTTTGTTACAATCTCCACTTTAAGGTGATTCGATAAAAAATTATGTCAAACCATATCCATTTAAAATAGTTATATAAATACTTTTTGGAAGTAAGTAACAAAAAAAATAACGCATATTCTTATATTTTAAAATAATATTGAATATCATTATTTTCAGTTAAAACAATGTAGTTTGTAACAAGATTTTCATTAAACTAACTATATTGTTTAATTAACGCATACCAATGGAGAAACAATAATACCATATAACTTCCTCGATAAGTTATGAATATGCCCAAAAGAACGTTATGTTCAAATTTATCCTTCAACTTTTTTGAAAAAAAATTTCTGTTCTAAATGTTTATATCAGCTTTTGTAGAATACGAACACATCCTTCAAGTGTAATGAGTTATTCTTTATCTCTATTTTTATTTTATCTTTTATTCCTATGACGCTTTGTAGTTATTTATGTTAACGTTACTCGTGTTATCATTGAAAAAATATACTGATACAGGGCAAACTATTTTCAGCAGAAAATATGAGAAAACACAAAGTAAGACCGAAACGACTACTTACGTTCCACTAAAGTTTACTATTTACAGTCTTCCACGTTAAAAAACACACGAACACTCCGGTAATATCAATGGTGACAGGCAACGTGAACTTGCATTACAAATCGACAAATGGCAGCTGCGGTCGTGCAATACACGTTGCTTTCTATTTCCACACAAACCACGACAATATCAAAAAGCTCAGAGTTGTGCATTATGAATTGTAATGTCAATCGTATGAGTCGGGTCTTCAATATCCAATCGTTTCATCCTTTTTTCATAGTCCGTGTTTTCATAAGATTAGAACGTTTACAGCAAAAATGAAAAAAATAAGACGTTCAACCTGAATTTTTATTTCTAAAAACATACCGTACTTTCATACGAATTGACAATTCAGTCGATAATATAATTTTTTTCTTAATCACAAACTACAAGTCTAAGGAAACGATTTAGTAAAACAAAAAAAAATCGAGGCCATAAAACCGTGTATGATGGCTAGTTTATAGTTATTACCAATACCATACGCTGGTGCACATAAAGTACAATAATAAAATTTTCTAATCGTTCAAAGTTCTCTTACTGACATAAAACACAGTCAACTGTACATTTATATAAATAATAACAGTGTTATTGCTATTTCATAAAATGTATTTCGAAACAGTTTATTAATAAAAAATAAAATTTACAATTTTTTGTTGTAAGATAAAACAAATTAACTCCCATACTGTATCAATTCATCGGTTTTAATTGAAACGATATTAACAGAGTGAATTTTCACCCTATACATGCGAAGTAAAATATACATAGCTACTAAAAATCGGCTATCGTGAAGTACAATAAAGTTTAAAACATAAAAGTAAAAAACTATATATAATAAAAGAATATAAATAAAATTCAACGCTTCATCTGGCGTACTTATTATTCACTTTAATGTTTTTGGTAAGACAATTCGAAAAACCCTATAAATTTCCTGAATGAAGAATCCTCAACAACATCAAAAGTCTAATCATATATTTTGGTCTATAATAAGTATAAAAAAGTTCGACAGGCGAAGTAAATACAAATAAAATGTATTAGATAAATCCAGGATTTTTTTAAATAAAAAAATTTAAATAGAATTTTTAAGAGAATGCATCGAATTTTACACATTTAAAATGATGTAATATTAATAAAAATTGCAAATAATATTGGAATTATCAAGAGGTAGTAAATACTTGTAATAGGACAGCTAATGTAGGATTTACGCACTTCAGGAGTGAAATGGAGTTGTTCAATAAAAATATTTTAATTATGGAACTGCTAGTTGCACCACTGTAAGCAAAAACAACTAACTAACATGTGATTTATTATTTATATTTTCTTATATTGATCAAACGCATTCTTTATATGATACTATGATATTAATAACGGAAAATACTTATTTATTGTTTACACGAAACAAAAATGATATTTTCGTATTACTTTTGAACTTTACTTATATCAGCTCGTAATGAATATTTTTATAACTCTTCATTCCTTTTGCTATAAAAAAATAATAATAAGACTAACATATCCAAAAATTCCTATTCGATGTATAAACGTATAACAATTTATGTTTTTGAACTACACACTACACATAACAAAAACGTTACAATGATACTAAAAATTATAAAATGAATATAATATGTGTACATAACCTTTTATTTTATAAGCTTTAATTAACACATTCAAGTCGTCAAGAGAATGAAGTTATACCAAATAAAATATATACAGAATGATATTTTAAGTATTATACACCCTCATTGTTTTTTTTTATAAAAATGTATAGATTAAAATTTAATATATAAAAAAATCCATAAAAAATATCAAGTTTAGTTTAAGAAAAATTATTTATAAGGGTAGATTTTAGGGATAACTTTTAAAAGTTAAATAGGAACCTATTTTTATTTTTTTTTTACTATTAACTGCAGAAGGGTTTAAATAAAATGTTGACTGGTTGATAATCAGTTCGGTAATATTACTTTTTGAGATATTAGCATTTAAAGGTTTAAAAAAAGTGAGGAGCGGGGAATTGTTTAGCAACTGTATATGACATAATAAGAACATTGAAATTGTAAAGTTAAATAATTTAAGGTAATTTTGAAATTTTTGACTAATGATTCGAACAGTTAATGTTCATATTATTAGTTATGTATGGGAAAAAAAATCTAAAGCTGTTTAATTTATTTGATTATTTCGCTAAATAATAGGGTATTTGAATTATATATAATGAAATATGAATGCCAAAAATATTTTAAGTCTTTACTTAAAAGCATAATTTGCAAAATTATTGAAACTACATTAATTTTATAAAACTACTATAAAAAAAAAAAATTAATACACATTATAAAATAATAAAGTTAATATGAATTTTAGAGCTGATTTGAGTAAAGCTTTATTTGACCAATGGATTTTAATTAAAAAAGTACTATGTATCAAAATAAATAAACAAACGACCACACGCACAATGCATACAACATGTTTTGCTAATAAAACAACGAATAGTAGTAACTCTACAAAATATTTTAATATAGATAAGTTTTAAAAAACGTTTAGATATTGAATAACAGTTTTTTGTCTCGAGTTTTTGAACGATGAAAGTTTTTAAAATATCTAATAGTGTAAAGTATAAAGTTGCGAAGTAAAATTAAACATTTTTTTATTCTAAAGCCTGGCAACTAAATTAATTATAATATAAATCGGGAATGCATTTAACAGAAGAAATTTGTGTATAATGATTAGGGTTAGCGGAAAAATAAAAAAATATTCATTATGGTCCATCGAGTTTGATCAATCTTAGCATAAGTTAGTTTATTCATCGTTCATTTGTTTTTCGCTTGGTTTTTTTAACGGCTCTTTAAAAATTGTCTTTAAAATAATCATTTTAGTCATGACATTGGTTATACGCGATGAAAATTCGATCACATTGTCTCTGTCCACTGTTGTTTTCCTTCAGTAAATAGCATAAAAGCTTTTATTCATTTTACGGTAAAAAAAAAAAACCCGATTTGAATACAACAAAGAGGATATTATTATTTCACCGCCACAGCTGTCATTCAAAACGCGGTTGTATTCTTTTGTGTGCTTAAAGATCCATTACGATCATATTACTGGATGAAGCGTATATTAAGTTTGACATAATAACAAAAAATAAATAATGAACGAATGATGTAACACGTAGAACATAAAATACCGAGTCCACAACACACGGACGCATAACTGTATCGAAATTGCCTAATCGGAACGCCGTCGATTTAGAGGGACAAATTGGGCGGGTTTCCAGGGTGTTTTATACCACAGATATGTGTTAGGAATCTAGTAACAACATTATCAGCAAAGGATTTCACTAAACCGTTAAGCTATTACACTGTGCGGGCACATAGCATACCGACGGTTTATTCTGTATGCAATAAGAATACGTTAAAAAGAATGAGATGCTTCTGGGTACGGGTAAAAAGCTGTTTTGTTCGAGTGCATTGCACAGCTCAAGTACACTATTATTGTAAGCACAGAGTACGTTTAATAACTTAACATCGACTAGCTGTTTGCTCTAATCCTTAACCTAGATAACAACAATGTCATATCTTTAGCGGCATAGAAAATAAAAAATAAGGTATACATTTATAATGGGTTATGATTAAACAAAAAGGTATTGCATACCTCACATATGACGTTTTCGGATACATCACGAGAGGTTTAACTTGAAAGATCGGATACGGTTAAGCGAACAAAAGGCAAAATAAATTTGATACCATTTGTTTTCTGCAGTGTTTTCTTATAGCTTTGTTGATACCCGGGAAAAGTCGAAATGATGGGAATTCTACACGAGTATAATTGAGTAACACAAAACAGCACAACTCCACTACCGTTGAGAATATAAAACATGATGGCGTTAAAAATGCAAGATTGTAATTTGTCCATAGTAGAATTGAGTGACCGGATAATGAAGTTTTTTGTTGTTATTTTATCGTATTTACGGCAACTATTGTTTTTTTAACTCCCATGATAAGTATTAGTTGTTTATGTATGCAAGGTGTTGAACAATTTTCTAGAAAAATACTCGGGATGTAAAAGTTAACCAATAAAAATTATTTAAATTAAATGAAAATAAAAATAGCGAGAAGTTTATTTACTGAAAAAATAAAAAAATAGTAGATATGAATGGTAAAACAATTTGTGACAATATATACCACATAATTTGCTCTGATATCAACATATCTCAATTAAAAAGAATAATTAGACATTGGTAATGTACAATATAAAAAATGACATTATTTTTAATGGATTCGATTAAGTATAACGGTTTATATGTACCACGTGAAATTATACACCGGCTTATTTTAAATTGTCTACCTCTGGTTTAATTTTCGATAGTGTCACAGATATAACTTAGTCTTCTTGTTATAGTCATTACTTACCACGAATTAATACTTGACTTATCAAAAACAGGTGCTATTACTTATCGTAATTAAATCAATTTTAATACAATAAAAATACTTTTCGTTTATTTAGTATAAAAATAAAGTAAGAAAAGAGTAGAACATCGAAAGTAAAATACCGAAAGAAAGGAAAATTACGGTTTAGATACATACATTTCTAGTTGTGTTTAATTTAGCATTATTTCTTTCCTTTATTTGTTTTGAAAATGTTCAACAAAAAACACACACAATAAAAATTAGTTAAATACTTGAACAAGAGTTATAGATCTATGCTCTTTTCCCTTTTATGGAAAGCAATTAAGGTCGAAAAAGAAAATATTACTAAGTAGAAAACAAACTAATAGTTAGGGACTTGTTTAGAAAAATTATGCATGCACATGTGAAAATATTAATTACCCACATGTTTACCTAACATCGAACTAGAACAAATGGTGAACTATTAATGTAAAATATGTTTGTTTAGCTGTTCATTAATGCATACAATGTTTGCATAAAGTATCGTACGTCACATAAATTTAAAAATGCTAAATACTAATACTAAGAACACAGACATAACAAACGACATTGACTGCGCGGTTTATGATATTGATAGTATCCAACAAACGGTATTATTTTACTCGTCAACAATTAGCATCATGTCTCCGTCAAGACGAAGCGATAACTTCACCAAACAATTGAACGGTCAAAAGCTTTCGGTACTTTTCTGTTTATGATTTATATCTGGTGTTGGTCATTGGCTAATATTTATTTATTTTCATGTACAGATATTGTTATTCTGGGTTTTGTTTCAATCAGGATTTGCCAGCATAAATAAGGTAGGACCAGCTGATGGGCTCCCATTTGAATTTGACCGAGTAGGAGGATCGGTGGTAAATGCGAAAAACATACTTACTCAGTCGGTCACTGATGATGGCTTCGAAGTGATTAAAACAAACAAACAGCAGCCGATAAAAAACTACAACTATAAATACTCGGTTAATTCTGATGGAACGGGTAACAGTGGCACTGATAGTTTCGTAAGCAATAATAGCGTTCTCAACAAAAACGAAGGATCGAATAACTCAAAGACACCAATAGATGTTAATAGTAATTATGCTAGCAGCGGAAGTAGTAACTTTAGCCCATACAAAGGTGCAACTTTTGAATACATGCCTCTTAATTCTAATTTCGGAGGAACTGGATCTCTTAAGGATGCGTTAGAAAACAATGCACAAAGTATCAAAATAATCAGAATGAAACCGCTTTATAAAACATTTACCTTAGATAATAATAAAGTTGAAGGATCATTGGCTAAGCAGATAAAAATGATGTAAATATTTTTCATTTTTGAATTACATAAACCATATTTTTGAATAATTCAATTAGACATATTGGCATAGTTTGATAAGTAGGACTTTGTTGGTGATTAGTGATGAGCATATGAGCCAAATAATACTTGGTACCTATGATCTTTTAGCTAATAGATAAACAACTTAAATTATCTAACTGCCAACTAAACAGCGTTTGTTTACATAATATTATTAATTAAGAATTTGTAATTTGGACTATATTCGTATAAAGCTGTGCTTATATATATCAATATTACAGCAAATAATAATTAGTATTGTACATCTAATAATAACGACACATATATATTATTAAATTTAAAAAGAAATTAAACATCAAATATATAAAATGTTCAGTAAGTAAATAAACGGGTGGGTTTCTGTTGTTCTCATTGTTTGTAACAATTGATCTGTTTCCTTATTTACTGATCATCCTGTAAATATATTTTTTAAAAATGAACTGTCTTCCTACATAAGTAAGACTTATAAAATTATTCAATTTTTACAGGGAAGATGCTTTTCCATCTTTTAGGTCATCATTTTTCAAGTTGTAAGCAAAGAAAAATAAGAAGTCTTTCATAAAAATTAATAAACATGTAAAATGACTCAAACATATGTGGTACCATCAAATTTACTTATTATTTGTATTTGCTTGATTAAATATTTTAAGACATTACAAATGTATTTTATAAAATATATACAAATCAAAAAATTCTACTAAAATAAAATAAGTTCTGTAATTAAAAGAATTAATTTTTTTACGTGCCTAAAATATATTAATAAATATTTTGTTTCAAAAAAATTATTATCTATTGCTATTTGTTTGTCATTATTTTAAATACAATATACTAAGCTTTTTTTTCATACGTGTCTTTTTTAAGCAAAAATATATTATATTTAAATACATAAGACTTAGTTTACGATGACATTCTATCAAAATATTGCTCCATCACAAAAAAAAAAAAAATATAAAAAATGACATTTAGAAGATTTATAGACCTGCTTTTTAAAACAATTTTTATCTCTCAAAATAGCCATCTCGCTTCTTACTTTTTAGGTTATATAGTTTTGCAAAAAATTAGATAGCATTTGACAAAATCAAAGTTTGATAAATGATCAGTGATAAAGCAAAATCCAAAATATTGATAATTTACTAGCAAGTATAAATAAAAATCAGGTTAGCTATTTAACTTTTAAGAGTTACAATAGAAATAATGGCATCTCTCTAATTTATAATGTACAATAAAGAAATTAATGGTAACGAATACAATGAAATAGTTAAAATCATTTTTTAAGAAAACTCTTGTTAACTAGATATGAACCTTTTGGGATGCCGCCCAAAATAGTAGTAAATAAGACACAATAGAGTATCAAATTTATTTAAAATATACAAAAATAAATCTTTAAAAAAAAAATTTTAAAGTTAAACTGAGTATCCCGAATTTTAATAAAGTATTTAAAAAAATATCAATAAATTTAAATAAATGTTTACTTTACAAAAAAAAAAAAATTACGGAATAGGTTTATAGTAATTATAATTAGACACATGACTTTAAGAAATAATTAATTATATAAAGAAAAATGATTTTGTTTAAAAAAACCTGTTAAAACACGATGTCAAAATATATTTAAAAAATATAATTTTTACATTGTTAACTTGGCAATAATAAAAATTCCTAAGTATTAAATGGACATTAATAGTTCATATTATCAATTAAATAAAAAAACTGTTGACCCTTCGGAGTTATTATTTTTAATTAATGCAAATTTTAACATAAAATACATCGGAAAGCCTTCAATGGATTGGTCTATATTTTTGACAGTTTTATTATTATTATTGTTAAATTCAATTCAATTATCTCGTCAACCGTAAATATAATTAGGTCATAAAAAATGGCTTTGGAAACGACTCGCATGCAGCGTATAATGATTTAAAAAAGAGCGTTGATTTGTTTAAACAAGGCGTTAAAAAATCGGATCATTTGATGGACGTATAAAACACAGCGTAAAATTGACCTTTGTAGATGGTAAGTTCATCGCTGAACTGGCATTAATTTGATTCCCACGGTGTAATGTTCATACGATTAAATCTAAAAGCTGCGCAGTAAAGATGCACACAAAACAAAAGAAATAGGATTACTACGTTAGGGAAAAATCGAGTAAAAATTCATTAATGCAGAAAGTTTATGAAGTTAATGAAGGTTTTACCTTTAGATGCATCCAACATTGTGGAAAATTAAGAGAATATGACGAAAAGCCGGATTTGCTTATTAAAAATCTCTCATAACTCATCGTTTTTCCAAAAATGTTTTCGTTATCCGGCCCAGAGACACAAACTTTCAAGAGCACCAAATAGTACCATAAATTCCTAATCCTTACTCCACTTTTTTATTTTCTACAGAAAAATAAACTACTCGAACATGGAATGATTGCAAAAGAATTGAAATTCTAATGCCGAATACGATAGATAAATCAAACTACAAAATGATGAGATAATAAAGTGACAGAAATAATGGTAAAAAAAAAAAAAAAAAGAAAGATTTTTATTAAATAAAAAATTCTAGTACCAGATTGGCGATTCGAATACTAATTAGATAAACAAGTAGTAAGAATATATATATTTTCATTCTTACGCTTGTACCGCCTGAATAATATCTATAAAAATAAATTATATCTAAAAACGTGGCCTCAATTTTCCACGATAAGAATTCTGTCGGTTATTACAGTACGGATTAAATAACTTTATTTGATGTTGGAAACACAGCAAACAGTTAAAACTTAAAGTTCCAGAGATATTTTATTTCTACTGTACAATATTCTAAGCTTCATTTTTATTTTTAATCAGAAATGATCTGAAAAACACTCGTCTTACACAACGTGGTTTATTTTACAGTTTGGCGTTTCTTAACATTACCTTAACGATATGAAGTTTACCCGTAAGTTGACTAGTATAATAATAGCAAACAAAATACTTGAAGATGAGCCCGACTTTGCCGACTACAACACGAACTGTCACGGTTTATCCATATTGTGTTTGGCAGTATTATGTCTAGTATTTTCTCTTTTTTGTTCTATGATATTAAAGCTACTAAATATCATCGTTTTAGATTTGCATTCTTCCTTAACAAACACACGGACAGATCATGCAATTTTCGCGTACAAGTATATTTATATCTGTCGGGCTTTACGGAAATGTAAATGCGTATGTTTACAGTTATTAGTGCTTCCCCGAGAAACTTGCTAAATTTATAGCCGCAGACCGTTATTACAATAGATGGGATGACTAGAAAATGATTATTATAACCTTACATAGCACACGGAAAATAAAGCAACAACGCTAAGAAAGGAACACGCTGATATGATTATGTATGCAAATAACCGATGGATGAATATATATACTTATTAAACTACATCGGTACCAATGACAAGTTAATGTCATACCGCAAGTGACAAAACATATAATTGACACACGATACGGATTAGTTATAATAATAGTTATTAATAAAGAAAAAAACTTCAACCATTGTTTTGTATTAGGAATATTTTCGTTATCAGAGTTCAAAACTATAAGTAATACTGCCTAAAACCAAATATCCGAAATAAACTAAAGCATTGATGACATATTATGTCAAAGTTTAATGATAAGTTTTCTCAAATATCACAAACTATTGAGAATGTACAAATGAATCCTTAAAACAATTATTAAAAAAACAAATAATTCACAATAACCTATTAATCTTTTTTTTTTTTTTGCATATCAGTTAGTGGTATTTAAATTTTATTGTTTTTAAATTATTGTCCTAAAAGTTTTCCTCTATCCTCTCACTGGACACTCAAATAAATGATTTGATATTTGAACAATACTCCAACCTGTGCATGTTTGCTTTGGTCTTTTCTACTTTTGATTGAATTCTGTGTGAAAAGTGTGAATAATTCTCTAGTAGTATAATAATAATTCTACAATGCAATTCTATGAATTACATTAGTACAAGGTAATTCATATTCTGGTAGAAGAAATTCTGCTAAGTGTTACCATATAGTACTTTTATCGTTTTTAGTGACTAGTTCCTGTCATTTTCTAAATCAATTTGTCACTGTAGGCAGTCCTGTGATAGATTTGTATCTCTATTAAACGGTTTCCAGTTTTTTTCACAATTTTGACTTCGCCAAATATTGGGCGTTTGTCCGACTTTTTTTTCTGCCATTGCTGCTACTTCTTTCTTATATCTGGAGAATTTCACATAAAACCTGTATTTTTTTACTGGTATGAGTTACAGACATCCAATGATTATTCTATTTGAAAGCCACGTAAACTCGTTTGGCGTGTCTTGATTGTCGCCACACTGCACTGGCATACTCTCCGGCTTAATAACAATAGATTAGACCGAACATTAGAATCGCCTTTGGGAAAGCGCCCCATTTTGTACCCGCTAACTTTATAATCATGAACTTATCACTATAGATTAATTATTCACTGTTGTGTGTACTAGTTGAATAAAACTAAAATATTTCCTATATTCGATAATACAAGCTGTAAGCAAAAAAAAATGCTTAATTAAACATCTTTTTTACTCAATTTATTTATTTCTCTAACTTTTGTAAAATCCAAGGATACAAACGTACAATGATACCATCAAATCAATACGCAAAGAAATACGCCTGCCCAATAGCAGTTAATATCACCAATTATTATTATTTCTTGCAATAAAATAAACAATAAATAAGGTAAAGAAAAACTTTAATTAATTTCTTGCTTTGAATTTTTTATACGCTTTACAAAGTTGAAGTACATAAAAAAATAAAATATTAAACTTGGAAGGTAATATCAATTATGCATTCAATATTATTATCCCAAAATAAAATTCCTATAATTAAAAATGATTTTTTTTATTCTGAATGAATTATCAATAAAGTAATAAAACTTTGGAAGTATTTTAATAAAAAAAATTTTTGAAATTCGATTTTCATTATTCAAAAATACATTATCTTTTGTTTTCTACCTTTTTGAGTATTGTTTGAAATAGAAAACGTAACGACAGCATTTTATATCACACTTTCTACTTCAGATATACTGCCAATTTAATTAGAGAAACCACATAAAACAACACCCACATAACACAAACGTTACCTAATCAACTCAACTAACATTGTCCGTATAATATCAAAAATGAAAGGGATTTAATTAGTAGAAATGTTTGTTGTGGTTAGTACAGCATATTCTACCTATTGATACGTTTATAAAAATATTAACTTATAATTATTTTTGATGTCAGTTCTTAAAGAAGAGCAGACGTCAATTTAATGATAATAATTTGAAGTGATTTTGAGAATTTTTTATTCAATACAAAAATTGATAAGAACCAGATTTCTATACTAATTTCGTTGAGATGATTGATGATTACTATAGAATTATATGAATACCTTACTGTATAAAAGAAAAGGTGAATAACATAATATAAACTACTGCTTGACAGATGGAACGAGCAAAGTTTTTGCGACAACGATCCATTTACAACATTTAGAATAATTATTATGTAAAATGGCAGCAAGTGCTGGTATTTTAGCAATATATTATACATTAATAGAAAATAGAATTGTTTGATTTGGTGTATAGATATACATACATATAATTTTAAATAAAAACTCAATAAAAGTGATAAATTTAGTTTAATTTTGTGCTCGATTTTATTGACTTTATATGATAAAAAATCACCTTAAATTACTCATTTTTTAACTTGTCATTTACAAAAAAGTCGACAACGCCATTGCGAATAGTTTCTTTTTTTTACATTACTACGTTATAAATTCAATTTACTTACGTTTTGTCTGATTAAACAAATTGTTTTGTACAGTTAAAAACC